TTGAGGGAAAATATTCACTTAAATTTCATTGATCTCTCATTACCCACAAGTGAAACATATGGGTTGTTTTCTTTCTGAAGTTAATTCACATCTTGTGTACAACATGTTTAGTCTCATGAACTATAGAGTTGTTTTATAACAGTTAGTGAATTGCTTAATTTATCTCATGTACGTCGATAATTTCATGTAGATGGATTTCATTTTGTGAATGTTGTATGAGTAAGATTTCAGGAGTTAGTTATTGTAAGAAGGATGTGTTCTTGTTTCCACACTTTTACTGCTTAATTTCTTAACTTGAGATATGATCTACGTCAATTAATCTTTTATATTCTACCGAAGTGAAATGATGACTTACTCTCAAGTGCCAAGACAGAATAACATAAAATTGGCGATCCAGATAAGACTTGGGTTTCTTCAAACTAGAGAGTTTCTTTCTTATGTCTTTATTGATAATGAGATTCTCTACGGTACAGAGTTGATAACGGCATACAAATGTATAAGTGATATGATATTCATGAGATATACCTTAATTCATTCAAAGTACAGCGTTTTGTTCTCTCAATACATTTACATACATGAATTCATTCCTGTTAGCTGGACCAAAGTTATTTGCATTCATCTAACTTCACATTTCAGTCTGTAACAGTCTGTTGATGTTTGGTAAATATTGCATAAAGATCACATCTTGTAAGCATGGAAGTACGGTATTCAGGGAAAAGTGTCTTGCTCAAATGAAATATCGAAAACGACTCTTTAAACAAGGAAGAATTATGGTGTGTTGGTAGTCATGTAGTCATGTACATAATTTATTAGTATATATAAGGTAATATAGATGACGAGTTTTTAATACCATGAAATAACTACACGAAACATATTGTCTATTGGTAAAATAGATTACTGAATATAAACAAGTGATCACCTTGATTGCTTTCTTCTGTATAACTCACGATTACTCCTGTATACTATAAAATTCATTTTGTGCGATAAAGATATTCAAATGTCAAATCTGTTTTCAAGCAAACTTAATAAGATTTCATACACATTATTTATACATTATTATTAGAATTTTCTGTATACACTACTAACTCACATTATTCTAGCTGACCAGTATACAAACAACATATCTTTAATCTTTTTAGGCTCAATATTCCAATCAGAATTAACTTTGTGTTGTATTTTGTTAATCATTTTGCTACTGGTTTAAGTTAATCCAATAATACCAACAAAATCGATGAAAGTTTTCTCCATTTTAGTTTCCACCACATGATGCAATCACACAAAATTAAAAAAAAACACATTAGACCTGTTAGTAATAAGAATCAAGTTTTCACAATGTTCTATGATCTGTTAGTCAAAATATTGAACATAAAACCAACTGACAAACAAATTAAAAAATCAAATTAGACTGAAATGTAGGAAAGTGGTAGTGAGTGTATTCATTGTTGTGATGCCGGCATCATTCAAAGAAAAATTGTTTGATAAATAATCAAGAATTTGTAGGCGTGGCTGTGATTTTGAAACACTTTATAGTCTGTCTATTTGACAATAAATAACATCACTATGAGTTAAACACCACAAATTCACTTTCATTGTGTTTTTAGTGTCAATTTTTTATTCACTTCAAGTTTCTACTGTTTGTATTTACGTAACCTGCTTAGTTAAGTAAGTGTTGACGAAGATGGAGTTTCATTGAAATAAGAATACTGATTGTTAAATTGTTGGGAAAACATGGTAATTGAAGATATTTTTCTTGTTAAGTGAATATCAATAAATGAGCACATTTCGTTAGTGATGATTGGGAGATAAGGACTAATGAAAGGGTGGTTAGAACATATGTGATTTCAGTATACAGATATTCATTAGGCATGGATTGTAATTTTCACCTCTTATATTCGTTCGAATACTGGCCTTTAAATAAGGGTTTTTTAAAACTTTCTGTGTCTAACATTATAGTTTTAGCCTTGGTCAACCAGCCTCCTACTCGATTTGATCGTATTTTCTTCATTTTTTTTCCAATAACTGTATCTTAAGAGCAATGTTTGTTATGTCATATCTCAGCTCGGTGATAAAAACTGACCATAAATATTTATCATTTCATATTATATGTTAGTGTTTGTTGGTTAGATTGACTCTCGTAGTATCAACAAATTTTCACGTTCTTATCCTGTTCGCAGCAATCTGATTTATACGCGTAACCAAATAGACCATATACATAATAATTATTTTCAGCAACCGATAAAGATAAATGATGCCATAGTCAGAGCAAAAAGGTGGATATTTTTATGTAAGATCAACCAAATCAAACGAAATCACACTGGTTAGAGAAGCTCTGGAAGAGGTGAGAACCTTTACATTATTGCATTATTGATGGATCTGATGTAGATGTGAACACATAGATTAGCAAAGCAAGGACAGAACTTTTACAACTGAAGAACATCTGAAACATAAAATAACTGTCAACCAACACCGAAGTCAGAATTTTCAATACAAACCTCAAGACAGTTCTCCAGTTTGCAGCAGAAGGTTTGAGAACTACTAAAAACATCATTTACGAGATACAGGTGTTGAATAACAGTTGCTTAAGCAAGATACTGCGAATCCATTGGCCAAACATTATCAGCAACAACCTATGGTGTGACAGAACAAATCAGATTCCAGATGAGAAAGAAATTAGGAAAACATGCTGGAGACGGATGTGACACACAATGTGGAAATCATCACATTGCATTATAGAGTAAAAGGGAGAGAGACCGATATCGTAAGGATGAATTTTACTCGAGAATAAATGGAAAGGCGAGCTCAAAACAAAGTTATTTGAAGATTTCCGGTCGGTAGCCTATTTTCCACGAGTACTTACAGGTAGACAATGTTAATAGCAGCAGAGAAAACAATAATTTGTTATCATTATCGTTGTTGTTAAGTCAAAAATAAGGAGTTCTAGTTAATGAAGCAATATTCTGTGATGGAGGGTTTAACTGCAATGCATTCATTATCATTCTGACCTTATTTTTGATTGGGTAACAGAACAAGTTGATGTAACGATTGTGACATAAGTGATAAAAACTCACTTCCATTTGAAATCGATACTAAACATATAATCATGCAGGACAAGGAAAACTCAACAATTGAATCGTCTAGCTTAGGTAGATACTATCAACACTATTCATTTAAGCTCCGAATTTCCTCCTTCATTCTAAGCAAATATATAATTTTAACTTATATCAAAATATTAGGAAAGTACATTCGATAGAAACTGATTGTAACTTGTAATGCTTCAACGAAAAATATGTCATACAATCACAATAACAATTCTTATTACATTTACGTAATAAAGAAATCTTAAAAATCGATGTTAAAAAACTCAATAAATTTGAATGATATTCAATCATAAAGTGTTATGCTCGTCATTTGATATGCTTGAAACTGTCACGAGTTCACCTTAGTTGATACACGAGAACGAGACAATGAACCAGCGTCCAGGTAGGCTACTCTGATCCGTTGCCCCAAAGGAACTGACGAAAAAGTCTTGATATAGCGTAGAAAGTGTATTCTAAAAACACCCAACAGACTCAATGATCTCACGAACACAAATCGCGTTCATTTATACATTATAGAAACGTTCCTTAGGAGAGTCAGAAAAATAGCACACTAAAGCAACACATAAACCAATCACAGCCAAGGATCTTCCTGGTGGGAAATGTGATCTCAAGGTCAACTGATTGGCCCATGAAATAAATCCAAAATTACGACATTGATCAAGCGAGTTCTTGGGATCTAACGTCCCCAACATAAAGCGTTTTAGTACTGAATGTTTTGATTTATTTTCTATCCAATGTACGAGAAAAATGTAACTAACTAAAATTTCAGTGTACATAATTGAAAAAAATAAGTTTATTGATCAGTCTTATAAAAATTAGATCAAAGTTGTATATTATTCATTTGATTTAATAATACATCTTCATGCACTGTACAGTTCAGCTTAAAATTATAAATTTCCTATAATTTCACTCAGTTTCCTGATTTTACTGGTTATGAGTTCGAACCCCATTTAATTTCCTTATCTAGAATCCTTTCTAGAATTTCATACACCTCAACAAAAAATATTACGAGACCTTGGTTCATTATGCTCGCTTTTATCCAAATACCATGCTTTTGTCTGCTGATCATCTGGTTACATCGTTCCTGTCAATCAGGGCTACAAACAATTCCCCACATCATTCTATAGTGAAAACATGCGTAATATCTCTGATAATTTACTTAAATTTTTCAAAGTTATTTAGTTAGGATTGAGTAACTGCTTAATTCCATGTTTTTCAAATTAACAATATACTTATGAATGTCAGTTCTCAGTAAATCTATACGAATAAACACTTTCATATTTGCTATCATGTAGAAATGAACAGTTGTATGCTTGGTGCTAATTGAAAGTCATAAGTCAAACTGTTAAAATAACCTCTGTTTTATAATTGCCAAATGTTTTAAAGATTTGTAATAGGAAGTTAGATTTATGAATCATATTATTACCGGTTGAATCATGCATTTTGAAACCTAAAGAAAAAACAACAGTATTTAACAGTTAACACTTATAAAAATCAAGATTCAATATTTTATTTTGTTTTATCTTTGTTATACAACAATTCACCTTCTTATAATTAACTTGAAATAAAACTAACATTAGTTTGAACAAACTCAATATACTACTCCTTTATTGGATTTTATAATATGATAGTACATAGAAGTGGTTTAAGATGAAATTATTGTTCTTAGTTGCAACGCTCTGTTTGTATATTTATCTACTAAATATTGGTAGGAAATTAGGCTCTTTTGCTTTCGATCGAATTTAGACGGTCAAGTAATGACCTTCAGCATTATAATATGTTTAGTAGTTCTGATTGGTCTTTGCTTACATTGGATAAATAAACTTTCTCTCATTGGTTCACTGAAAAAGTAGATTTTTTGTATTTTATTGGTCATCATTTCCTGACAGAAGTTTTATTAAACAGTAGCAATACAGAAGCAATAGAATAAAGCCTTACTTGAACCGATGTAACAGTGAGATAAATCCTGTCAAAGACAAGTATACACAAATTTACCATACGTAACCAATGTCCTCATATTTCTTTGCTGGATCTTGGATACTACTAATAAATTTGACGTTGACTCATCAGCAAACTAGTAAGCAAATGAGATTTTATTAGCCTATATATATACATTTTTGTAGCCCTTAAAACTATTTAATTCCTTCCACCAAACTTAAGATAAATAATCGAGAATCTTCACTATTTACAGCTGTTGTATTGAATTACCAGAAAACACAGTGTAGCTGAAACAAATATGTATCTAATTTACTGAGAGTTTCGTATCAAGTTGTTAAGTCGTATAGTGCAGGAATGAGCTTAAAACAGCTTTGACGAAGTTTCAACAAGTTTTAGAACATATCAGTAAACAGCTCTTATAAATGGATAGCTTACGGGAAAAATATTGGGAAATAGAAACAAATTTTACAGACTATTTTCATTGCCTGTTATGGGCTAAAACCTAAAGACATTATTCTCAGTTTTAACCGGTTCATCTTTATACCATCATCTTACCGTTACGTGTTTGGCAAACAGTAACAGGAGAAATAGGAAAATTGAGAATGTCACAATAAATCGAAAATAGGTATAAACGATAGAGTATGTCAGGGTTGGACATATAAACATGCATTTGAGTTGTATACTTAAACTAGT